TGTTGAAAGTAAGTAATAGAGACATGGGAGTTCATTCAACCCTCTCAATCTTTATCATGTTTAAATTCCACTGAATTAAGGAGTAGAATTAAGTAGAACATTTGATGTGTTTCTGCTCCAGCAAAGATTTCATAAAGATACATAAACTATTTAAGATTTATGAGTTATTAATGAAAAATATCATTATCATTGGAAGAATTTACTTTTGCAAAATAAAATAATAAAAACTAGCACTTCTATTTCCTATGCTTTACCTAGGATGGAGAATGAATGTGATTTCTTCTTTGTAATTTTCTGAGTTTATGAAAAACAACTTTTTTTTCATTAAAAAAAGTTTTCTATTACAAGAAGTCACTATTTCTATTACTATCCATTCTGCAGCTTCTATTTATACAAACATATCAAATAAAACCCTCTCTACTGCTGTGGCAAGTCCTCAGAATTTGATGGTAAAACAACTTCAGGACCTACCTTAACTTCATCTTTGAGGAAAGGAAGTGTAAATTGTCCATGGAGAAGTCCATTTTTCTCAAAAAAAAACAACATCCTGCTGGTTGGGTTTATCTTGAGTAGATGCAATCAAACTACCTGAGGGCCTTAAAGCAAACCCAGAGTTAAAACATCTAAGAGTTTATCCAGCTAGCTAAGAAACAAGATGAAATTCAGAGAAACAATTTTTCAGCCAAAACCAAACCACCCCATCTATACGGAGAAGCAACACTACGTGTCTCCTGGCAAGCAGTCACTAGTACACCTGCCCAGAGGAAAAATGTCTCTTCTGGTTTTCGGTGCCTCAACTGCTCAGCCACATGGATTTAGATTACACTTGGATGACTTTTTTAAACCAACAATTTAAATCATTCCAAGTACACTGTCTTAAAAAAAAATGAAAAACTGAGCCACCCTGGTGGTACACTATCAAATCTCAGCACTGTCAAGCTATTGCCAGCCACTGCAGCATGAATTTGATCCCCAGCCGGGGAGTTAAACCACATAAGTTGCAGGAGAACTCTCCAGTATCACCCGCTGCTCCCTCAGCAGTGTGTATCAGTAGATTCACCTGTTCTGTTCCCCACTGTATCTCTGATGAATCCTCTCACCTCCTGCACCTCTGGCCTACACCCCAGTTCTTGTATGCATAAATAAGTAAATAAATCTTTACAAAAGAAAAACTATTTTGGGCCTTCCCTGGTAGCGCAGCGGTTGAGCACTGGGCTGCAAAGCTGCCTGTAGCCACTGCAGCGCCAATTCAATCCCCAGCCGCCGGTGAGGGTCCCACAAGGCGCGCAGACCTCTCCTGCTGTGCCCACTGCTCCCTTCAGCAGTGTAATTTTGTCAGTCTGCCTGTTCTGTTCCCTGCTCTGGCTCTGGTGAATTCTCTCACCCTCCCACGCTTCTGACTGTACCCAGTGCTTGTATAAATAAATAAATCTTAAAAAAAGAAAAACCCAACAACTATTTCTCCTTCAATTACATCAGCAAATATCCTATGCTCAGATAGGTGTCTTTTAAGATTTCTTGATCTTATATGAAAACATCTCAATCACCTCATCTTGTCTATATCTGTCTACAGAGTTTCAATTCAAATATGTTTCTTTGCTCTATCATCCAATTGCCGAAAACTAACTGGAAACAAAATGTCTAAAACCTAGAGGCTAGTAGTGCTCTGCATATAACAGGTGCTACTACAACAGTGGATAGCTCCCCATGGTCAGGTGGCCGCAACACACGGGGAGACTGTGTAGAGCACTAAGCCATGAGGTGAACTGGGCCCAAGTCTAGCCTGAAGCTTCCTAGACAAGCTGAGCCTTTCATGTTGGGGTTTGTGCTATTGAAAGAAGCTCTTTTCCTAGTTTTCATCAGAGTGTCACTGAGCCCTTCAGACTGCGACTTCCCTGCTCAGTACCATCTTCTGTTTTATGCATTGGCTTCATATTGGCCTACCAAAACCTGCTCATTGTGTGAACAATGTGAAAAAGTTCTTTGAAGAACTTCTTCTGTCTTAGAATCTACCTTCAAATTCAGTCCAGACTTCAGAGAACTAAAAGAAAGATACAAACTAACATCCAAATGAGGAAATGTAAATATTCTTTCATGTTGCAAATATCTCTAATTCGAAGGGTAACACCCCCTCAACCCAGTTCTAAGAAATTCTCTAAGAAGATACAAAGTTTCTTCACCCACTTACTTCCAAGCCAGAGCCGGGCCCAGTCCTGCCACAGGCTCACTGGTTGACTGTAGAGCAAACTCTCGATTCCAAACTCTGACCTTCCGGGCCCCTGCACAGCAGAGACAAGCAAAGCACTATGATGAACGTGAAGTCAGAACTCTCACTTTCCCCACCAATAAAAAATGTCAAAGTCAATTAGATTAATCTTGCCAAAGTTTATATCCACCATGTGGGAGGCTGGACAAGATGGCCTCAAAGAAGTCTTCTAATTCTCAGCTCTAAATTCATTGACCACCTACACCTTAGATATGTAAGTAAAGAAAAATTCTCAAAGCAATAGAAAGAAAATGTCCTTGAATTTAATGAGATTTTAAGACTTTTTTAAACTTCAGTTTATTTCCATACCTGTCTCTGGGCAAACAACACTCACAGCAAAAAACTGTCCATCACCACGCCAGGTAACTTGTGCTTTGTGGTCATCCCAGGGCAAAGCAGACTCGAGCTAAAGAATGGAAGAAACAGAAACACTACTAGCACCCTTCAATGGAAAGGATGATGTTCCACAACTGCTCTAGGCTATTAAATTTGTATCTCTTATTTGACGCTTAAGCTAGCTATAAAACCAGTGTCATGGAACCTTTATGAACCCATCTGGAAAAGCATTCGACCCAGAAATCTTCAAGAAAAGAGAAACAGATTTCAAAACAAAATCCTACTCTGAGCATTAAAATTAAAGGTGGTCAAGGAAAAAAAGAGAGGGAGATAATAAATAAATAAAGATGGCCTCTAAGCATTTCAACAGTGGAACTCACCCCAGATCTAGATATTAAAAATAGTGAGTTGAGGAAGCTACCAGATAACTACAATAAGGAGATAAATGTTCTGTCTTTCTACATGTAATCAAGTAGAATTCTGCTTATTCAATTATTGAGAAAGCTTCACAACAGCACACAGAAGTGTTAAGATGAAAGGAAACTGGGCAGGGAAGGGCCAGAGGTCACAAAGGCAGTAGCAATGATCAGCGTTTCGTGCTCTGTAATTGGGAGGAAGACAAGTCTCTGATGCCACTTTATCTCGATCAAGGCCTTGAAGACAAAAGCTAACTCTGTGGGGTGGGGGACAAATGATCACCGGAACGAACATCATCACATTCCAGTGCAGCTAAGTGGAAATGGCAGCAGTCAGCACAACGGGGAACTCACAGGGAGCCCAGCAGATTTATGCTCAGTGAAACTGCCCTGCGGTAGAGACCATGGACTTTCAATAGGAAAGGTTTAATGTGAGTTTCACAGAATGTTGCTGGAAATAATTAAGGACAGAAAAAGTCAATGGCAAGCAATGCCTTATTGATTCACCTATCCTAGAAAGACAGCTTTTGGAAATTTCTACATAGACTATAAATACAATGCCTCCACTTGCTCAGGCTTGAGTGTGGAATCATCATCACTAATTCCTCTCTCAGTCCTCACATCTGATCTATTATCAAGACATCCTGCAGCTCTACCTTCAAAATGTAGCCAGAAAGAAGGAAAACAAAGCATTTCATCCAAAAGAAAAAAAAAAATTGCAAAAAAACTCTCAAGTGTATATATGGAGGAAAAACAGAAAAACACACATGCAGATGACAGCTGTGGAATCAGGACAGCAGCTCCTTCCATAAGGGAAGGGAATCAGAAAGGGAGAGATAGGGTGTTTCACATCTACTGGTAATAACTTATTTTTTTTTAAGATTTATTTATTTATTTATACAAGCACTGGGTACAGTCAGAAGCACGGGAGGGCGAGAGAATTCACCAGCGCCAGAGTGTGGAGTAGAACAGGCAGAAGGACCAGAGTACACTGCTGAGGGGAGCAGTGGGCACGGCAGGAGAGGTCTGCGTGCCATGTGGGACCCTTGCCAGCAGCCGGGGATTGAACCGGCGCTGCAGAGGCTGCAGGCAGCTTTGCAGCCCAGTGCTCAACCGCTGCACCACCGGGGAGGCCTGATAATAACTTACTTTTTAAACTAAATGTTGATAATATTTATTATCAACACTGAATGACACAGCAACCTGAAAAAAAAAAAGCTCTCTCTAGGATGATCCACTCCCTGATGGCTCCAAAAAACTTTGTTTTTACTAAAGAAGAAGAGATCTGTTCATCATTAACCTTTATCTCAACACCTAAGAGTTCCTGGCGTTCTGGAGGCAGGATTTCTATTCCTCCCACTCAAGGTACCTCACCCATAGAGCAACCTTACCATTTGCACTTGAAAGGCCGCTTGCCTGCCCTCTGATCCATGGAACTGTGTCTCCTTCCGGCCCCATCCAACAGTGATAAACTTACCTAGAGAACAATTGTTGAGAATGTGCAAACCAAACAATAAGTTAAATAAAATGAAATAAAATCAGTTCATAGCTATTTTTCAGTTAGTCACTGGCAATCACTTAGGTCGTCAGCAATCTCTCAATAAACTGACCAGCAGTCAACATTTGAAAAACCTACATTCCATATTACATGCAGCAGTGAGTGTGAAGAATCTGAAATGGCTTTATTTTAGAAAACACTTTATTGCCATCTTAAACACTCCAAATTCTCTTAATGAGAGTCGGTAGTTTATAATGAAGTAGAATAAAACATGAAGAATTTACATGATATGGCAATAAATAACAAAGCATAAAACTCAAGACAAGAGGTGGGAATAAAATCCTGATTATAAGTATTCAATCCACTATATGTATCCATCCTCCCCATTAATGGGTAGAGGAGACTGAAGACTATGGAATTCAACCCCTCACAGACTAGACCTCCCAAGTGGCAGAGGTCAAAATTAAAACAGGGCTTCTTGGGCTTTCCTGGTGGTGCAAGGGGTTAAGTCTCAGTACTATGAAGCTATCAGCAGCCACTACAGCAAGAGTTCAATCCCCAGCCAGGGCGATTGGTGCTAATTTCATAGCAACTACTCAAAAATTATTCCAAATAAATTATTTTTGAATATTAGTTTTCTCAATGATTTCTCAGAGTTTGTGGAACAAAAAGCCATGTGCTTAGATTGCAGCACGGTAAAATACCTTCTCCCCTTTCCCTTCCCTCAACCAGCCCAGTTACCTGCACCCTCAGGTTGTCCAGAACTTCTTATACTCAATAAGCATCTCCCTTCCTCTCCTCCTTCAATATTCCAAAGACTCAACTCCAAAAATACCACAGTTAAATCTTAGCAAGAAAATAATCTGAAAAGTATTTTTCTCATGAAAATGCAGACTTGGATCGATCAGTAGAAGCGAAAATAAGCCTAATAACTCTCTTGTTTTCTCCCTAAAATTATACCCCAGAAGTACTCTTATTCTAGTTAGCACAGTTCCTTTCATCGAACCCTGAGGTTTGGGCACTAACCATCCTGGTAATCCTAAACATAGGTAGGTCTCCAGTGCCCAGGTCACTGACAAAGTCAACTCTCAGACATGTAGAGCACCTGAGGATGCCTTTTCAGATCTGGGATGGGCTAAAGGAATTGGACTATCAGACACTGAATAGAAGTTTAAGCTTCATGGTTCTTTGGGTTTATGAGTGTAATTAGTACATAAGAAAGTGGCAAAGCCTGCGCAGAAATTCAGGTCACAAGATATTTCAAAGCTATACTCACTTTCACCAAAATCATCCTGGTGAATTTGCTGTTCCATGATTGGTTCAAAGTCTTTTGTCATCATAATTAGGGACTGTTGACCTTGAAAGAGCACAAATAAGAATGATTATGTTTGCATGCAACAAATTTGCCATTCCATAAGTATCTATAATACTGTAAACTACAGAGCTGGAGTGGAGAAGTTTATAGTCAGAACAGAGCAGAAAAAAGTCATGCTAATGTTTCGGCTCTCATTAAAGAAAAACAAAAAATCTTGACAGGATAAGCCACCTGGTGCTGCTGTTCAGCTATTTAAGTATGTGAACCAGCATAAAGGTCCACAAAGTATGCAGACTTGCATACTTCAGTCATCAAGGTCCTTCTTCAAATATTCCTCATAAGGCTGCTAGTTTATAGAAACTCATCCAAATGAAGAGAATTAAAGGGAAAAAAGCAGTATTTGAGAGCTTGTAAGAGTGCTTAAGAGTTGTAGGATAGTTTTAGAATCTGTTTGTACAGCAACTCTTCCTTTTAGAGTTGGTTAAATAAATACTGCTGACATTTCTAACTATGACTTGGTATTATCTCCAGGTTTTAGGACTTTGAGTCCCATTTCCAAAGATTGAAAAGCTAAATGAGTCCATTTTTAAAACAATTTACTGAAGGGTAAAACTTGAGTAAAAAGGAACACATTCCTTCTAGATTATAATGCTGGTATCATTGTTCAAATAAATTTTTTGAAACCTTAGTAACCTAAAACTTAAGCCTGTAAGGTAACAAGAATCGTATTTTACAAAGCCCAGCGCTAGGGACCAGTGGCAAGTTTACCTGTAGCAAGCAGCACTAGCTCCTGGTCAGGACTCCAACTCATGACAGAGATACCGCTAGCAACGCTCCCAACACATTCCAGCTGAGACAAAAGAAAAGTGCTAAGAGATTTCAAAACACCAGCATCTGGGTAAATAGTGACTATAGCCTTAATCAAAACAATTAAAAACACAACATACAAATGTAAATTAATTCAACAAACATTTATTAAGGTATTACGAAGTGCTAGGTACTAAGAAAATAGGCATAACACAAGGCTGGAAGTGACTAAGGCCACTCCATTCCTTCCAGAGCTGGCTCATGAAGGAGAGAAAAAGATGACTCTCCAGTGGGATTTGGGATACAACCAAGGTCTGGGGACTGAGTGGGAGTTTAGAGGCAGGAATGGGCACTGAGCAGGTTTTTGGATCCAGTAGACTGGGTAAAGGAGGAGAGTCCTTGGAGTCCTCAGTGGTTTTTCAGGCTTTTATTGGGATTTACCAGGTACACGGCAGGCAGAGGTGCTAGGGGCCGGGAGGCTGGCAGGTCTCCCAGCCCCCAGCAAGTCTTCAATCTATCTGGGCTGTCCAGCGTTCTCTGCTTCTCTCTCTGCTCTACTATTCGTTCTGCTTCTCTCTCGGCTTCTGTTGGCATTTCCGTGACACCACCCTTAAAAGCCCAGTCTTAGCCCAGGCGAATCCCATCTACATATGCCCACACCCTACTCCAGGTGCCCGCCATCAGGCATGCATTCAGGACTATAGGGTTCTGTCATCTATCCTAATGGTGGGAGGGCAGAAAAGCCTGATACTTTTACCTTACCCTACAGGGGCTTCCGAACAGGGGATGACAAACGGCCCTGGAAAACCCAGGCAAGCTTTTCTGAGGTGCCATGAAAGTGATGACAGGACCATGAGAGAGACAGAGGAGGTGCAGAGTTATAAAAAGCAGTTAAAAGTCAGCTGCAACTAGAGCAATAAGATATAGACAAACAGGAACGATGGGGAGAAAGGGGAGGGAAGCTAAAAGGAATTTGGGGAACAGATAAGGAAAGGTCTCATAAGACACAAGGAACATGGATTCTGTGTTATAGACAAACAGGGAGGATCAACACCTGAGCTTAATAATCAGGAAGAGGGGGTGGCGCAAGGAGTTAAGTCTCAGCACTATGAAGCTATCCATAGCCACTGCAGCACGAGTTCGATCCCCGCAAGGGAGATGCCCACACAGTGCTGCAGACCTCTCCTGTCTCACCTGCTGCTCCCTCAGCAGTGTATTTCAGTCAATCTGCCTGTTCTTTTCCCCACTCTGTCTCTGGTAAATCCTCTTACCCCTCTCCCCACACCTCTGGCCAGTACCCCAGTTCTTGTATGCATAAATAAATCTTTAAAAAAAAAAATCAGGAAAAAAAGTCTAAAATGTTTTGAAAGTAAAAGCATAGCTTCTAAATGTGAGAAACACTAAGTTGTACTTGATTATTTTGATACTTCTCACCATTAGCTGAAAGATCAATTATTGAACAGAATGTTTAAAAGCAAAGTTACCAAACTTAGGGTTCAAATACCCTCTGGCAACTTGTAGTCACAGGAATGGGCACAGTGCAGGTTTTCTGATCCAACAGACCGGGTAAACGAGGAGTCAGAGTCCTCAGTGGCTTTTGAAGGTTTTTATTGCGATTTACCAGGCACATGGCAGGCAGGGGTGCTGGGGGCCAAGAGGCGGGCAGTCTTCCTAGCCCCAGCAAATCCTCACTCTATCTGGGCTCTCTGGTGTTGTCTCTGCTTCTTTTCTCTCCTACTTTTCCGCTTCCTGGCTTCTGTTTGTTCTTTACTTCTGCTTTCGTCCCCGCGACACTGCCCTTATAAACTCAGTCTCTCAGCCCAGGTGTGCCCACTTCAGGTGCCCGCTATCAGGCATGCATTCAGGACTACAGGGGTCCCTCATCTATCCTAATGGTGGAAGGGCAGAAAAGCCTGATACTTTTTCCTTACCCTACACAACTGTATGATTAGAGCCCATTATTGAACTCCCTAAGCCTCAAATTTCTCTTCTGAAGAATGGGAAAATGGCAATTTACTTCATAATTTGTGATGAAGAAAATCTTGCATGAAACAAACTTGGAAAAGTGCCTGGCACACTGTAAACATTTAATAAATGTCAGCTGCTATTATTACACTCTTAATAGTTATACTACAACTCTTGTAATAGAATCAATGTCAATGAGGTCCCAATTGATGGAGTAATCAAAGAAATTTTAAAAGAATCAGACTGGCTGTTAAGAATGTGAGGAGAGAGGGTCTCCCTGGTGGCCTGTGGCTTAACTATCAGCACTATCACTGCTAAGGCCTGAGTTCGATCCCTGGCCAGGGAGCAAACCTACATAAGGCCCAGCAGACCTCTCCTGTCTCACCTGCTGCTCCCCTCAGCAGTGTGTTTCAGTAAATCCGCCTGCTCTGCTCCCTACTGTGTCTCTGATGAATCCTCTCACCTGGTCACCTTTGGCCTATACCCCAGTTCTTCTATACAATAATAAATAAAATCTTTAAATAAATAAATAAAGTTTTAAAGAAAGAATGTGGGGAAAGAAATCCAGAAATTCAACCTTATGCTAGAGCAGAAAAAGAGGTAAATGGTTGAATTCTATCTCCTCTGGTAGTCATAAAATATACACACAGTGAGAGTGCATAACTTTAGTATCTGTAGTTCAGGGACTCCAAAGTTAGCTATTAATGAGAGGCTTAATCAGCATTCATAACTAAAAATATAAGTTGTATTAAAATTTCAAAAATCTACTAAATTAAGTAATAAAGGTTACAACTTGGGATCAGATTCTGAACTACATTACAGGAGAATGACCAGGGTTTTTTTGTTTGTTTTTTGTTTTTTTTTAAAGATTTATTTATTTATTTATACAAGCACTGGGTACAGTCAGAAGCACGGGAAGGTGAGAGAATTCACCAGAGCCAGAGCAGGGAGCAGAACAGGCAGACTGACAAAGTACACTGCTGAGGGGAGCAGCGGGTGTGGCAGGAGAGGTCTGCGCGCCATGTGGGACCTTCACCAGCGGGCGGGGATCAAACCGGCACTGCAGAGGCTATGGGCAGCTTCACAGCACAGCGCTCAACCGCTGAGCCACCGGGGAGGCCCTGACCAGGGCTGTTTGGGAATGTTCTGATTATCTGGAATGTTCTGATTATTCCTCTTAAAAGATGCAATGGACAAAAGATGCAATTGAGTTTTAGAAGAATCCTAAAATATAACTAAAGCCATGCCAATAATTTGTATAAAGAGATACATAATGTAAAGATTCCAACTTGTAAATTATATATCCTATGGCTCCCAATTCTTTAAACTTCTACACAAAACAAGCAACTTGTCTGAAGAAGCCTAAGATCTCCTCCTCACTGGCTGCTTACCTGGTGTGTGCTGAGATTGCAGAGTATGACATCTCCGGAGGCGGTGGCCACACACACAGACTCCTGATCCAGCAAATCCTGAATACCAACAATACAGCCACTTCCATCCTCTGGGAGAAAGCCTTCTGCTGCTAAAGGAATCTCATTTTTCACCTTTCACCAAAACAAATAAGCAAAATTTAAGCCGATTTAGATGGTATGGAGTAGAGATCGAAACATAGTTTTAAAAACAGTATATTCCCAATTGAGGCCACTGTTTTATACAATATTTACACAGTAGAGAAATCTTTCAGGAACAACTCATAACTCTTTCTAGTTGTAAAATACTTTTTAATTCCCCTCATAACATTAAAACTTCCAAAAATGTTACCTTTTTTAGATTAAAAGCTAAACTTACACTTCAGAAATATCACAATCCTACTCTCTTTAACAGGAAAAATATTTAATGTGAACTTTTTGCTAACCAAACACAAAACAAAAACAAAAAGCTTGGTCACTTTTAAAATATTCAATTAAACATGAAGCTAATAACTAATTTCCTAAGATTTTTATAGTATAAAGAAAAGGCTAAGAATAATCAAAATATATCAGTAGCAAATGATTGGTAAAATACCAAGCTGCAAATACAATGAAGGGAAGATATCAGAATCAACCCAAAGAATTTTTATATGCTCAGAATCCAGCAGTGAAGATTCTGTATTAGATGGTGTGGGGTAGAGATCGAAACATAGTTTTAAAAACACTACATTCCCAAACTGGGTCGCTACATGCAAAAGAATGAAGCTTGACCACTACCTCACACCATGCACAAAAACCAACTCAAAATGGATTAAAGAACTAGACATAAGACCTGAAACCATAAAATACATAGATGGAAATATAGGCAAAACACTCCATGATATGCACATCAAAGACATCTTTACAGACACATCACCCAAAGCAGTGATAGTGAAGGCAAAGATCTACAGCTGGGACTACATAAAATTAAAGAGCTTCTGCACAGCCAAAGAGACAATAACAAAAACAAAGAGAAACCCCACCGACTGGGAGAACATTTTGCACACAACACTAATGATAAAGGACTGATCACAAAAATCTACAAAGAGCGGATGAGACTCAACAAAAACAAAGAAAATAATCCAGTCAAAAAATGGGCAGAAGAGCTAAAAAGAAACTTCTCCAAAGAGGAAATGCAAATGGCCAACAGGCATATGAAAAAATGTTCAACATCATTTGTAATCAGGGAAATGCAAATCAAAACTACCATGAGATACCATCTTACACCAGTGAGAATGACACATGTTAAAAAAACTAGCAACAACAAATGTTGGCGAGGTTGTGGAGAAAAAGGAACTCTCCTGCACTGTTGGTGGGAGTGCAAACTAGTCCAACCACTATGGAGAGCTGTGTGGAGATTTCTGGACCTACTAAACATAGAGCTTCCATATGATCCAGCAATTCCACTCCTAGGTATTTACCAAAGGACACAGAAACATCAATTCCAAAGAGCACCTGCACCCCTGTGTTTATAGCAGCACTATTTACAATAGCTAAGCTTTGGAAACAACCCAAATGCCCAAAAATAGATGACTGGATCAAGAAGATGTGGTACATATACACCATGGAATATTACCCAGCATTCAAAAAAGATAAACACATGCAATTTGCAGCAACATGGATGGCACTGGAAGGGATCATGCTCAGCGAAATCAGCCAGAAAGAAAAAGAAAAATACCGGATGGTCTCACTCATAGCAGCAATCTAGAAAACTTAAATAAGGGACCAGGAAAAAGAATAACTATAAGAAAGAAAATATCAAAATCAACAAACAACTATGAACTAGAAACACTCTTTTGGGGGTGGGGGCAGGGAAAGGAGGGCTTGGGGTCAAAATAAGGGGTTGTAATTGTATGGGGAATATAAAAATAAAATTTAAAAAAAATAAAAACACTACATTCCCAATTGAGGGCCATTGTTTTATAAAATATTTACACAGAGAAAGCACCCACACAAAACAAGTCAGTTTTGACAACTTAGATTTAGAATAGAAACAGAGTTAAAGGTTGGTTACTATTTAAATTCTGCCTAATATGACATCAACATAAAGTAAATGAAACATTCATTTAGGAGGTTATGAATTCATTAAGATTTACAGTAAGGTCTACACAGGAGAAGCAGGTTTGGAAGGAGACAAGTAAGGGGCATGCCTCATGCTGGCATGTCCATCAATAACTTACTTCTCTTGTGACAGGATCTACTTCTACCAGACCATGTTCTGAGCCAATGACCACTGTCCCCTGTTCAGTTCTGAGACAGAAGCACTGAGGTTTCCCAGAGCATGAATATCCCTAAACTCCAGGGTCTGAAGTAGCTTTAGATTTCTCATAATGAAGTGATTCCTGAAAGAAACAAACAAATAACCCTTTATGAAACATTAATTTCTAAGAGAAAAAGGAACATCTTAGTGGTGATAAGTCACACTCATATTTGAGATGAGGGAATGCCTGGCTTATCTACCTAGAAGGGAGTAAGGAGGGATGAGAACAGTAAAGCTCAAGAGGTCAGACATGTCATTTCTGGTTGTCATTCATGCAGGCTTATCACATTCATTGTGCTGTTCCTTTGCCATGTTCAGATCATCAAAAAGTCTTACACACTTGGGTTCTACTTACCAATAGTCAGTGAAGCCCTGGGATTCACGGACCCTGAGATAAGAGTCTGGAGGGCAAAGGCAGAAGGAGCTAAAAATGACTCACTTTTCCTGTTATCTTGCAGTTCCTGTTAATGTTGCCCCAGCAATGGGTCTTAACCCTTGCAGAGGCCCCCTACTCCTAGTACTCCCAGGACCAGTGTCATCATTCCCACTCCCCAAGGAAACAACACAAATCAGTCAGCCCCCCTCCAGATAGATGAAATCCAACAACATGGGGCTCCTTCCATGGATTTCGGAGGTATCAGCCCCAGAAATGAGTCCTAGCTTTACAGAGCTTCCCCTCCAAGGTCAGGTCATGACAGCTCCGCTGTCTTCCCTTGTTTTGATCTCAAGTCCTAGATACTTGGAGTTACTTCTATCAGTAGAAGTACTTCTTCATCTTTCATATTACTTCATGGCTCCCTTTAGCTTTTTGTCACTCCAAAAGCTATTTAATCATTTTTCACATTAAATTGTCCCTATTGAAATACTGTGTGGTTTCTACCTTCCTGACTGAAACTTGACTCGCAAATAGAGCAAACAACCCAAGTTCCCAAATCACTGAGTACACAGCCTGACAGCATGAGCTACCTACCCCTACCTCCCCAATTCAGAGTTAACTTCTCTTAATTTTCTCCCATCATCCTTACTCCTTTTCCTTCTCAGGACCACCCCCATTACTTTACATTACTAGCATAGTATCCTCCCAACCTCCAGGACCTAAGCTCATTAGCATGCTCTCTTTTGTATCTGGAATCATCAACTCCCCCAGCCACAATTTAAAACCTTTCTCTCCTCTCAAATGTGCTAACTCTCCCCACACTACAGGTCACTTCTGGATCCTCTCCTAATTTTCTGATAATGCCTCCTCCATTTTCTTCCCTTGCCCCTTCATCCACCCACCTCTTTAATCATCGTGCTCACAACTCTAAGTACCAGGCAGAACAGTTACATGTTGACTAAATCTAAATATCAAGCCCCGACTCTCCCCAAACTGAAGAATAAACCCACATTTTCAATCTCCTGATGTATTTAGAAGAATGTGTCACAAGTACATGAAAGGCAACCTGGAAAATAAAGAACTTTTTATTCTTCCACCAAATGAGTTTCTCCTATTTGGAAATAAGATATTTCTGTCCTCTGTCCAAGCTGAAAATTATCTTTGCCTCCTTCTTGCTCACACTGGCTTAGTAAACGATTCACTGGTTAGCTCCGTGGCTGTCAATAACACAGTATGAAACCTTACAGAGTGCTAATCAATCCTCCCATCTGGTGTGTGAGCTACCTCAAACACTGAGTACTTTAAAAGCTAGGATCTGAAGACTAAAGAAGACTGACAGTCGTCGTCTCCACGGAGGTGACAGATTCATGGGAGTGAAGGCCACATAATACACCACATTAAATGGAGAAACTGACGTGCAACTTACACAAAAAACTCACCAACGCGAGAAAGCACGCACAGAAGAGCATCAAAAAAAAAAAAATCTCTAATAACCATCGCTTTCTTTCTTACATTAACTGATTCGCTTTCAGTGTACTATGCACTCCCGCAAGGAATCAAGTGGCTGGGTAAGTGCTGCTGCGGGAGCAGCACGCCCTCCGGGCTCCCCAGCCCTCCAGAGCCCCCAGATCGCCGCAGAGCAAGGGTCAAGTCTACAGAGAACTCAAGATTCGAAGCCAGAGGTGGTCACGCCGCACTCCAATGCCGGGCCTGCTGCAGGCAGAGGTTAAGCGTTCAAAGGTTCTCTCCATCAGGACACCCCCAGGTGGACAGGGTCCGGTTGCTTGCCTCCCCACTTCTGGGGGGGTCCTTGAACGCTCACCTGCGCCGCGCTCTGAGGACCCCAAAACAGCGGAGCGTCCGCCCTCGTCTCCCCGGCCACGCGCAGGATCCAGTCCGGGGCTGTGCACGCGCCTCGCTCTGTCTGCGGCCGGCCGCGTAAGGTGCCTCCCCACTGCCTGACCTCCAGACCAGGGGGGGATAGCGGGTAAGGCCCCGGGAGGGGCAGCTGGTGCAAATGACGCTCAAAGCAAGCAAGACCGCGCGACTCGGCGCAGGAATGACGTCACGAAGCGGAGGGGCGTGGCCCGCCTGCTCCCGAAACCCAGGTGGAACTACGCGGCCTCAGCCTCCTATCCCCGCCCTCCGCCCAGCCTATTGTATTCGTCTTCTGCTTTGACGTCAGACTTCGAAGTGCTGTAATTGGAGCCGGAGGGCGGAGCCTGGGGCCGGGCGAGCAGCGCGCGTGCGCACGATGCGGCACGTGTGCCAGAAAGTCGCCGTCCTCCGGGGCCCTTCCGGCAGGAAATCCCCGAGTCCGGGAGGGCGGGGGTGCCGGCCCTCTAGGTCGCCATGGCTACCGAGCCTGTAGCTGCGGAGTCCGCGGTGCCGTCGCTCGTGGATCGCTACTTTACTCGCTGGTACAAAGCGGGTATGTGGGGAATGGTGTCGACCTCTCCTCGGCCGCTTGCGCCATGGTGACAGATCTTAAACGGCGCGCGATCTCAGAACGAACAGGGGCCCCGACTTCAGAACGAACAGGGTCTCAGTTCCCTTCTAGGCGAAGGAAAGGTGTTTGCGAAGGCTTGGAGGCCTGGAGTATAGTGGGGTGTATGTTGGGACTGGCCAGTGCAGTGCGGTGAGGGTAGGTTGCATACGGAGGTAATAGTACCTTAAAGTGCGACCCCGGAGGGAGACAGGAGCTGGATTGAAATCTTGAGTGCCCCAAGGAACTTGGGGTTCAGTCCCACAGGGAGTTTTGATAAAGAGAATGACATGATCAGGTCGAAACAAAGGTAGAGGTAGTAGGCATGGAGGGAAGGGAGTGGTTAGAATAGAAAGCAGAATTTAACATTTTACTTGAAGAGTAGCTGCCGGTACTGTACATTTGCCACATGGAAGTAGGTACCCTGTTGTACTGCTTTGTGTGTACGCAGTGAATTTCAGTGGTGCGCGCATCCTCAAGCCCCTACTTGCTTCCTTCAACTCAGGGATAATCGGTATTTTAAAAATATTGTAGCATAATTTTATTAGCCAAATTTAGGGTGGCCAGCCGACTCGGTTTACCCAGGACTGACGGTTTCATCAGGACAGTGCTGGGAAATGGTAACTAACTGTCCAACAAAGTATACACTGTCATATAAAGAATGCCTTTCAATCACATTTTTTAAGTGTACTCATTTAAAGTGAGGATAAAGCAAAATGGAACAAAGAAAAGATTTAATCCCTTCAATATTTAATAAATTATCCTATTTGGGCCAGGCCCCTTTAAATACCTTGTAGGATGTCTTGTATCTTTTTAAGTAATGAAGGTATCGATACCAATGATTGAATTGTATCCAATCATCATGATTAACTATGAATCGACTTATTACCCAGTGGTAATAAGTATTGACTCAGTCAACAGACTCATTTATTATTCTAGATGTCAAAGGAAAACCCTGTGAGGACCACTGTATACTACAGCATTCTAACCGGTAAGCAAATTGGGAATTCTAAGTTATGGCAAAAACTTTCTGGTCTTATAGCCTGGTATGTATGGCCTTGGCTTGAAAAATATTCGTTTAATTATTGTCTTCCACTGTGTTGAAAAGGTATTATTTATTAGAGGGTTTGGTTGACAAGAATGAGCCTTTCACTGCCTATTCATTCTGAACAAATAAACTTAATTACCCAAACTTCCAAATGAGAACCACAGCCTCAATGAACTACTACCTGAAATAGCCTGCCTGTGTCTAGCCACTGAAGTGTCAGAGTCCACGGAAGGGCTTAGCTAGAAGCACAGGGGGTATTCTGTATTCTATCCATGCTGGCATGCCTTACTTCTCAGTACTCCAGTACTGAGACCTCCAGTACACCTCTTTCTGGGAAAGAAATCACTTCCGTTTTCTCCTCTTTTATTCTTGCAATTTCTTATACAGTTAAGTTTCCAGTCTTAGCCAGAGTGGAATAATTGTTTGACCCAGTTCAGAGAGTCGTATTCTAGTTGGCGTACTGTATTACAGGAGGAAGAATTACACCCAGCAATAACAAAGGATCAATTTTTGCTTTTTGTAGAATATGTGTCATCACACTCGCAGGATCTCATCCAGTTCTTCAAAGTGGAAAAACAATCAAAAGCATTTCCTATCAAATCAGTACCAACTGTAGCAGACTTCAGAACAAGGTTTCTGGGAAGTTTAAGCGGGTATGTTCTTGTATGTCTCTACTTAAATCCTCTTTCTATTACAGTAATTAGCAATTATAGATCATTATTGTTAAAATTGATAATGTATGCACAGCATAATTCCTGGTAGTTTGAGGTGTGGGTTTTAAATACTTTAACCATACAGAAATTCTCAGAGCAAAAAAACCTAGGTATTTCAGAAGGTATAGTATCTGTATATATAAGGTTCTATATTACCTTCCCCAGGAGGGAGGGTGGGAAAGATGGTCCTTTGAAAGGGAAACTCTATTAGCAATATATCGAGATATTTTGTCCCTTCTAGTTTTATTAAACCTGTATCTTGAGTTTTATAAAGCTGAAGTGATCAGCTGTGTATTTTCACAAATTTTAAAAACCTATCTTGAATATAAAATCAATCTGAGAAAATACCCAGAATTTGCTCAGTTTTCCATATTGTCATTTTCATTCCCTTAATAATTGCCAATTTAACACATATCTGTCCACACCCTCTATATCACACAATGCTCACTCATACAAAATGTACCTTAGGCAAGATGGACATTTTATTAAAAGAAGGTATTATATCAAGAACAATTCAGCACCAACTAAAGTATCCTGACATACTGCACAGGAAAGTTTCTGTGGGTGATTTAGGTCCTTTCTTTGCTCAGCTAGTGTAAGTGTTTCTGCTGACTACCCTGGCTTTTCTCAGAGACCTTGTTTATTCTTCCCTTTGTAGGCATGAAGTCTCCTAATAATATGTCTTATAATTATTTTTCTTCACTTAGGAAACACATGGACTTACAAAAGGATGGAACATCCTTTTTTTAAAGTCTATAAATTACAAGTAAAAGAGTTAGTACTTGTAAAGTTCCTGTGTTAAATCTTTGTGCAATATAGTAACACATTTGTTGTTACTAAAGAACAGAGGGACCCCCACGTGGAACCCATTACTAATGTTTTGTTTTGATAGGTTCTCGGCAATCATTTACTCTTTTTTTTTTTTTTTTTTTTAAAGATTTATTTTTATACAAGAGCTGGGGTATAGACCAGAGGCGTGGGAGGTTGAGAGGATTCACCAGAGACAGAGTGGGGAGCAGAACAGGTAGATGACCGAAATGCAATGCTGAGGGGAGCAGTTGGCATGACAGAGAGGTCTGCCACGCCATGTGGGAATCTCCCTGGCCGGCCGGAATCGAGCGCGTGCTGCAGAGACTGCCAGCAGCTTCACAGTGCTGCACTCAACCCACTATGCCACCCGGGAGGCCCAATCATTTATTCTTCCAAGGGAGGAGATAAAAACGAAGTTAAAACACCTTTCTTTTGACACAGACCTAGTGGTAGACAACCCCTCTGGAAAAAAATAGTATTTTGAAATAACCACATGCAGAGGAGCAGAAGCCAATTTGGTAATAAGTCTGAATGCTAATATTGTTTTGAGTGGTAGAGATTGTAAAGAATAGCATCTTGATCTTCATGCCTGTGTTCACTACAGGACAGTTATTTTGGAAAGCAAAAAAAAAAAAAACAACACATGAGACATCTCTGCACCACTTTCCCATGAGCCTCCTTGGAAGCCTCCCAACTATATCCATTTAGTGGGGTACATGAAATAATAACCATGCCATAACCTTCTAACAGATGCATATCAAAATGTGGCATTTACTTCTGGCTTGTAGGATAAGTAAATTGTTATTATTTGCTACTGAACACTTTTTATATTTTCTTAATTTTCCTCAAAGTGAATTTATCTTGATTAGAAAAATACCCCTTAAAAGTCTTAGTGATTGGCCCTAACAAAGATGTTCCTTTATTAAGTTCTAATATAAAAACAAGGAATTAGTGAAACTACCCACACTGTTGCTGTCATACTCTGTCATGTTCAGTTTTTTATTATTGCTTTTCCTCTACTTTTGAAATCTTTCCCCTGGCTATATATCACTTTCTCATTTACAATCAATAAAAGAATATTCTAACCTGTAATAAAACTACCTATTATCACATTTCTTAGTTTGCTTTCTCCCAGAGCCTAGGCTGGTCCTTGCCAAAGACCTGGCACTCACTATATAAATGTTTGAATAAAGGAATTATTTCCAGTCATTAAGTCATTTTTATTTTAAAACACAAATATTAGTTCCAGGAATATATCCTATTATGACATTGAGAACTGTCTCTCAAAGGAAAGCAAAATGTTCATCAACTAATTACTTCTTTCCTTTATCACACAGGGGGCACAGTTTCTAACAGAACTGGCACCTCTGTGTAAGATTTATTGCTCAGATGGAGAAGAATATACCATATCCAGGTAAGTGACATTTTAACCACATTTTTAGTGAAACAAAATGAGGTAATATTTTTCTTCAACAGGATGCTTTTTTTTTTATATAGCTGTGTTAGAGGTCGGCTGATGGAAGTGAATGAAAACATCCTCCATGAGCCATCTATCCTTCAAGAGAAGGTAACATGGGGGAAGGCATGATCCCATTCTTTTCCATCTAGTATCTAATCTGTCCAAGGTACTAGGTATTCTTTTTCCTTTCTAGCCATCCACTGAAGGCTACATTGCAGTTGTGCTGCCCAAATTTGAAGAAAGTAAAAGCATCACAGAAGGGTTACTGACCCAAGAACAGTATGAAGAAGTGCTGGTGAAACGCATTAATGCCACAACAGCCACATCGTGAGGACCAACATGGAGCAAAATGACATGGGACTCTCACTCCTGCCTGGCCCACGGGATCAGTGTGCTAAGGAACAAGCCCCCAGGAGGCATATTTCACACCAGCCATCCGCAGGCGGCCTGAGCCTTCACTTAACCTACTTTTCTTTGTTTACCTGTGTAACAAGTCTTGGTTCCCTTTTGTCTTCAGCTTCCTAGATCTGCCCTGCCCATGTACTCATTCTCTTCATTTGCTGCTCTGTAACTGGCAAGATGTATTTCTGATTAAAAACAAACAAAGCACTTGAAGAAATTTAGGAAAAAACAGGAAAATTTTAAGTAGCAAAGTAAAATAATTTTCTCATTCTATAATCTAGAAGTTAAATACTATTTTGACATGTTTTTCCATAAATACTGAGGCATGCCTCATTTTCCATTTGTTGGAAGTTTTTATAAAATCTAGCTGGTCCTTCTCACCCTGTCTGCCTCCTTGTGACATCCCACAGTCTAGTCCCACCCGTTCTGCCCCAGCTCATCTCCTTTTAGGTTGTAGGGAAGAGGCTGCAAACGTACCTTCTCCACTCCCATGCCACTGCCATGGCCTTCTTCTTTGAGATAGAGCATTCTACAACACTGTGGCTTCTTAAAGAGTGATGCATAAAAGACTTTAAAAAACACAAAGGCTCTCCTGACATGGAAGTGTTATAATGCGGCGTTAAGCTGGTTACAGCAATGTGTCTATCACAGTCACTCAGTTTTACACTCCAGCTACAGGGTAACCAGCAAAGACCTTACTAAGAAGTTGCTGTAAATTCAAATGCACAGATGCCTTCAAATGGAACAAAAGCTTTCACAACATTTAAACAGCGAAGACTATGAATTTATACTTTGATTATAAAGTTATTTACATTGAACTTCAAATAAAAGACTTAAAATTTTAGGAACGTCAACACATCATTAAATATATTTAAAAATAATATTTAATACAAAAGAAATCACTTGTGTAAATTCCTTTGGTTCTCTATCCTGTTATGCTTTGAACTCATAAGTTATTCCTTCCCCACCACTACTGCTACATAAATAAGGGAATATTCTCATTTTGGATATGTGAAAATGTATTGTAAATAAAATTTTACATTACTTCTGTTCACAAGAAACTTACTGAGCCCAGCAAGACTGTCGCCTAAATGTACTCACCAGACATGATGCAGGTAGTAATTCTACAAGCATCTACACTGACAGGGCTACATAACCATAACAATGATTTCCAAAGATGTCATAAAATGAAAATACTAAAGATAGTAAAAGGAAAGCACATCTGTTTTACATATAACATTACCTCACATCATTTCTCTATTATTTCTATTGTACTTTAAAAGATATTTTAGTTTCAGGGAACAAAAATCATGCTTGAAAGTGCAAAGGTCACTAAGGCGATGTACATCCCATTTTTGCCCCAAGGCCTTCAGTGTTTCTAGTTTACTTCAATAAAACATTGCCTAGCTAGTTGGTAGTATTGCTCCTCAGGACCTCGTATCGATTGTGACAACTGACCCACATAATGATCATCAAGTAAGCTTACATATCTCTGCTGCCATTTGGCAAATGACATATCTCACAGATTTCAGAGCATTGAAATACAAACAAATCCAAAATGAAGTTTACCGTATTAGAAGGACAGACCTATAAGGCAGATCCTTCTAGCAAACCCACCATACAAAAACAAGCATTAAACCCTGAAATTAAAAATACTAAAGTTACTGTTTCATAATGAACATTCCAAATGCACATATAAAAAAAGTATGATTATTATGAATTTATTTAGGGCCTCCCTGGTGGCCTAGGGGTTAAGTCTCAGCACTATCACAACTACCACCCGTGTTCAATCCCTGGCCAGGGAGCTAACCTAAATGTGGCACAGCAGACCTCTCCTGTCTTGCTCGCTGCTCCCCTCAGCAGTGTATTTCAGTAGATCTGCCGTTCCCCACTCTCTCTGGTGAATCCTCTCACCCTGCCCCCCACCACCTCTGGCCTATACCCCAGTTCTTGTATGCATAAATAAATAAATAAATCTTTTTAAAAAAGCATTTATTTTAACAATGTCTTTGTTCCATCAGTCTTGGATTATTTTATCCATCACGAGGATAGTGTAGAAATTTTTTGAAATAAGATAGATTTAGGATTCCAGCTAATATTCAGGACAGACATGCCAGTTACGCTAGAATTAGAATTATAAGCCATCTCCTAGTGAGTTCCTCCAGGATTCTGTGTGTGAGTTCCAGGACCGAGCCCTTGGGAATGGGGGGAAGGACATATGCAGCATGACAGCCTGAAATAACTGTCAGAGAACAAATGCAAGCTACTAGCATGTGTGGTCTGTGATGATTGCCCAGTCACAACTGACAGACAGGAATTGAAGGAGAGTCCACAGGTTAAGGAAAGACTATGTTCTTCCAGACTATTGCATGTTTTTTGCTGAAAATTGATGTTCTAAATGATAAGTTTAGATTAAAAAAACACCAACACGGAGTTAAGGTAAGTAAAGTGTGCCCAAGGTGGTCACATACTCCAAATAGCTCTTTGGATTAAACTGCCATTAAGACAATTGGGATCATTAAGACAATTTGGTTTGACTTTTAAAGAACATCAATGGCAATGTTCCATTTGATAATGACACTGCAATTTGAATTCTAACAACTATCATGTCATTTATTAGTTGTCAAATAGTTTTACAATTGGTTTCATGATCAGAAAATATAGGATGATTTCAGATTTGTCTTCTTTATAAAACTGTTGAATTTCTGAAAACACAAAGAAAACTTGCTTTCTAAAAATGTCAGCTTTGCCACATGATGTTCAAAGATCTGACACCAAAGGCTCTCAAGTTTTACCATCCACGGAATCTTTGTTGGTAACTGAGACCCATCTGCTGTTTTCCACCTGAAGCTAGAAAGAAATAAGACAATTATTGTCTACGTTACTCTGAAAATAAAAATTGCAAATTTCAATAGTGAGTATTTCATTTTGAATTTTCCTTTAAACTGTGAGTTGAAGATATGCTCTCACCTTCTTCAGTAGTTTATAGCAAAGTGAAAGAAGTTGGACCAAGATAGCCATCATGGATCTTGTCTTTGTAATACACTTATCAACCTGGAGTGGCAGAAAGTAAGCCAATCAAATGTTATCACAAGGAGTATATGTCAAAAGACACTATCACTTACTTAGCTTCAAATGATGATATTTCTCCCTTATGGAGCTGACATGAGCAGCCCGAACACAAGTGCAGGAATTTCTGCCTAGTTCTCATGACTATTTCATGGAACACCAGAGAATGAATGAGAAATCAACCTTTCTACATCCGGCTATTTAGGAGCTACTCAAAGCACTCTAAATAGCAGCAGTGAACTCCCTACTTTCCAATTTCTTGGCTGGGCGTAAGTGCAAATTTCCTGAGACAAAATATGAGCCCATATGCAGGGGAGTTTGTGCCCTAGTTAGAGCAGTGATGACATGAGGATTTAAGGGCAGCAGCTCCGTGCCAAGGAATAATTATGACCAAAAAGCGAATTTATCTGGTGAGTCTACTGCTCCCTGGAGTCAGTTAAAATTGCTGATAATGAATGATTCTTACAGTCAAGGCAAAAAATTGGAAATAAATTGCCATTCTGTTAGTATTAATATTTTATTTGGTGAAAAGGAAGCTGAGAGTTAACCTGGTAAAAAAGTATGAAAGTTTCGCAAGTGTCTACCTGAAGAGCCCACCCTCCCTTTTACCTTCAGAAACCTGATTCTGCAAAGGTGTCTTAGTTATTGTCTGGAGCTGGTGGCATAGAGGAGTTAGCTTGTTTATTTCCAGGAGAAGCATAAGCTTGTCGTCATCTTTCAGCTGAAATGTAATGTAGAAAGTTAAAACAACTCCAACAAACTCCATCTTTGAAATCTTAAATATCTTTATATCTTAATAATATACTCCCAAAGTGGGTAATCATGACATCACCCCCAGCACCAGGCAGGTTAGGCTGCATTACCTGTTTTGAGAAAGCTTGTACACTTGAGGCAAGCTTTAAGCCCTCTTCAGCAAAACCTGGTGGACAGAAAAACACTACTTTAGATATATGTCTTAGGATAGTTGATAAGAAATATTCTCACTCATAACTTTCACATAGAGTTTTAACACTAAAACAAACATAAAAGATGTCATAGAACTAAAGTTTTTCTCATATCCAAGAAAAGAGTTTACTGTATTCAGGATATTTCCAGGCCTGATGCAAAATCAATGCAAGGGAGACGCTCCTCTTACATCTGCTCACCACCAGTTACACTAGTGGATGACATGGACCTATGACTCTGAGTTATCCAAAATATTCCTGGGCTTCTGAGGAGTCTAGAGGTCATCTCATGATATCCCCTATTATAAAAGGGTGATGAATCTTAGAACATGAGGTCAAAAGGGTTAGAACATTCCTACTTCCAGTTAAACAAGATAAAATGTGTCACTCCTATACAATCTTTAACCAGCCATCTCAGAGGACTAATGCTATTGGTTATTTCTGACCATTCACCACATATGTCACAAGTTATTTGGAGAACAAGATGATAGGAAAGAACAGTGGAAAACTGAATATATAGAAAGGATATTCAGGATGATTATTTTTATTTTTTATTTTTATTTTTTTAAAGATTTATTTTATTTATTTATACAAGCACTGGGTACAGTCAGAAGCACGGCACGGTGAGAGAATTCACCAGAGTCAGAGCGGAGAGCAGACAAAACAGACAGACTGACAAAGAAATACACTGCTGAGGGGAGCAGCGGGCGGCAGGAGAGGTCTGCGCGCCATGTGGGACCCTCGCCCGGCGGCCAGGGATCGAACCGGCGCTGCAGAGGCTGCGGGCAGGTTCGCAACCCAGCGCTCAACCGCTGCGCCACCGGGGAGGCCCCAGGATGATTATTTTTAAATGTACGTAGAGTATATTAGAATGAGAAATCCCAGGAGAGTAAAGGGACTTAACTAAGGTGGCATCAGCAAGAATGACAAGAACAGGGCAAATCTGAGAATGATTTAAAAAAAAAAAAAAAACAGGTATTAATGATAAATTAAAAAAAATATGAAGAGGGAGACAACTGATTAGGGCTAATTCTAACCCACCAGTGTTCTTATTTTTTTTTAGATTTATTTTTATTTAATTATGCATACAATAACTGGGGTGCAGGCCAGAGCTGCAGGGGAGGTGAGAGGATTTACCAGAGACAGAGTGGGGAAAAG